ATATATGATGAATCATTTAACATTACTTCTTAAACGGAAGACAGAAGAAAATGCAAGAAAAAACTAACAATGAAGTACTCGAAAATTGAAATACGATAAAAGATTACTAGACATAAAAATAGCTTTAGCGTAAAAGATATTTTGCAAATTTCTCGGAGAAAGGGTCTTTTTGGAGAAGTTCTAATATCAAGCTTATCCAAGAAGATGGTACTATTGCTTATTGAGTGGGACAAAGGTCTAACGACCTCAAACACTCAAAAGCTCATACTCAGGACAACTAACATAGGTAAGACAGTGATATCCCCCAAAGGCTCACCTGCTCTGCAATAAATGTAACCCCTGAGTGATTAACCATTTCATAAGTCTCCCCAAGGATAGGATTGAATGGCTTCCACGTCCGCTGGTAGGCATAGTAGACCGATATTGCCCATGATGCTGCAACGGATAACATAAAAGTAATGCATCAAACAGTTATACTTGCATGTGAATCACAAAAAAGTTCAAATGAAAGGTATACTCACTGGCAAACACCAACTGCATATAAGGATCCTCACATTCATCGGCGTGATCCAACAAGTGTGAATACTCCATTAACTGTCACAGACAATGCACAATTTATACCATACTTGACTATATATACAATGTGCATAACAACACTGCAAAGATATTCACAAACCTCAGCCATTTTCTGCAGCATTGTCATTGGCTCAAAGATAAGTACAGGAAGAGTCACCATTGATGTTACATCTGAACCTATATACTTCTGCATCATCCTCCAGTAACTGTCTCGTTCCTTAAACAGTAAAAATGCAGAAAGCCAATATGTCAGGATGTATAAGAGATGTCAGTTAAAAATGAACATTATAATTTCACATTTGAAGCATAAAAACAGAAAAATTAAGCCTTCCCAATCATGAAAATAGCTTACTAAACCAGAAAATGATAACTAGGATTCCACTTTAATTTCTGGAATTAAACATGAAAATGGCATATACCTCCTGCTTCCATCTTCCTCTTTGAGCTTCCTCCTCTGCATCTTCTTTGCCTCCTTCTGGATTTATGACTTCCACCCCTTCATAACCAAGCAACCTAAAAGAGACAAGAGAGCCAGATTCTCAACTGGCAGAACTCACTGCATAATAACATCTCATAAGGACACAGACATCTTCTTCTCAATTAGTAAATTACACAAGAAAATGAAATTAGCGCAGAAAACGTACACAAAAAGCACCCATAATATAACGAGGACAACAATAATGAACATGCAAGTTATACATAAGTCTGATTAATGGCTCAATAAGAGATTCAGAAGACGTTAAAATCACGTCCCTAAACAGAACCAATCTATTAATACGATCACTCTTTGGTATATCTAAAAATTTCATTACAATTTTATTCCAAGTCATAGACTACATCTTTGGTAACTAATGGAGTGCTATCCAAGGCACCCTTCTCTAGCAAGTAATAAGCATTTCTTTGTTCGAATAATTTAAACTAAGAGATCTATAATAAGAACTGTTTAGTTTTAAATTAAATGTCCAAACTTTTAAACAAATCTAAATTGGTAGGACGATGATGATTGTAAATAACTACACACGCGAACACCAACGCACACACAAGCCGTCTCACCAGCTCATTAAAACACCACCTCAAGTTAACTCGTATAGTAATTCAAGAGCTGATACAAATACCACATTGTCTCTTTAAACTAATCTAATCATCCTAAAACCCTTCAAACTCACAATTACAAATCAAACCGCGAAAATCAAAAACAGAACTCTCCATTCAACAATTCACTCACAAAGTTGCATATCAATAACCCATATAACCAAATACATCATAGTCTTCGCATGCAAGATCAAAATGTCACAGCTCAATCCAATTACGGAACCCAAATCAAAAAGTGATTAAGAGTATATCTACAGAAAAGATTAAGCAAACAATCAGGATTTGACGACGACGACGTCGCCGCCATGAATCACCTCTAAAGGAAGATAATTTCAAGCGGAATATTGAATTACGAAGAAGAAGGGAAGAAAAAAAAAAAAGCTAACCCGCCGACGGATCGGTGCATGGCGTTGCCAAACATGGAGAGGCCGGAACTCATGGCTGCGAAGAAGCCCTTGTTCTGATCCTTCTTTGGGCTACCCATCTCCCTCCCTAGATTCTGTGCGAATTGTTCAAATCCTAATTCGAAAATTGGAAGGATGAAGGGGAAAAAAGGGTACGAAAAACAGAGGAAAATCGTACGGAAATTTAAGAAACGAAGAACCCAGATATTGGGAAGGGAGGGAGAGAGAGAGTACGCATTTTCGGTTTAGTTTTTGCGCTCCGTTTTAGGAACGCGTGTGTTCTTCTCCTTAATGAGGTCATCCCCTGCGTTGGAATGTTGTTTTGGATACTGAGATTAGTTGACCTATTTCACGGATCGAGATTCACTCCAAATTTTTTTGTCTGGAATTTAAAAGTTGAGTGATTCAAATCACTCAATTTCAAAATTTCAGCCTATTTTAGTCAATTAATCTTACTGGTCCACTTCACAGAAATATAAAACTTGAATGGTGTAGATATTTTTTTATTTCTTAACGACCCAAGTCTTTCAATTTCTTGGCTCTGGACACAAAAATTTGTACCGAAACTCATTCTTTCTTTTTTTTTTACAAACACATCAATCCAAATTAGCAACGTATTTTTTAATTGTTACAAAATACTCTTAACTTATAGTTGATATGAATTCATATATTTTGCTTTAATTTATACTCCATATTATATCGATACTTATCAATGTATTGTTCTTACTGTCTTAAAAATATTATTGTCGTTATTGTATTCATATGTTGTCATTATCGTATCAATGAAGTTAGCGGTATTTGAGCAAAAAGGGTAGTGCAGATGAGTGTTTAGAACAGGGGAGCAAGGCAGTTTTTGGTTGGTAAGTTTGAGAGGGCAACTAATTTTCCAATGTTCTTTGTCATTTTTGTTATATGTTCATGGTTGGATTTCTATAAAGGTATATTTCATCCATCAATTCACTACACGTCTGATAAAAGAAAACTTCTTAAAGAGATATATATACTTTGCTTCATCAATCCATCCACTACACGTCTGATAAAAGAAAGCTTCTCAAAGAGATGTATACATCGCTTCATCCATCCACTACGCGTCTCATAAAGGAAAGTTTCTCAAAGAGATATATACTTCACTTTATCTTAGTGTCATATATTTTCTTAATTTTATGAGGTGGACTTTTTACATGTTATAATTGTAGAATACATATGTTTCTATACAAACTTTTCTTTAGGTTAGATGACGTTATAATGCTCGGAAAATAGAATAGTTTAGAATAGAATATCTCATTGTAAAAAATCAGTTGTCTATTAACAAGGCTACACTAAATAAGTATAAAATTTAAGCTTTTAGATTGTAATGTTTCATTGTTAAGGATTGTATTAGAAAAGTGATCAAACGGAAGCTTAACTGGAGATAAACCCAATATAATCCTGCAAGTGAATTATTACCATTTTTCATACATGAATCGTTAAGAAGCATTTCTTCAGACTGATGATTTGTGCCATCATTTTTTCAGAGCGATGATTCTTCCTTCTCGCATTCGTCTTTCTGATTATTGCTTTTTGACTGTGATGGCAACATTTTCTTGATGTGTGCTATAATCATATTACACGAAAGATGGTGCAGTAGTAGAAGCATGAATGTATTGATATACTTGTTCATGATTCATGTCCTTTTTATTATGAGAGTTTTAACGAAATACTTTTGGTACTGTTCACTTTAATGAAAAACCACATTTTTACTCTAAAAAATCAATTATGATATTATTCACTTACAACACGTTTTTATCATTTTCGTTAAAACTCAAAGTTTTCAAGTCATTTTCGTTTTAGTTTTTCTTTTTATTATATGCTCTTGCAGGTGGGGTAATTTGTATTCCTCAAAGGGACTCTATATCTATTGGGCACATTGCAGCCATTCGTCTTTCTGATTATTGCTTTTGGACTTTGGTATATTTTTTAATATGACGGTCTTGTATTAACTGAAGAGTAAAGACATTAACGTTTTAAGCCAAGACAGAAGAAATATTCGCCGAGTTAAGTATTCATCCTTTAAAGATAGAAGACAAAACCTAGTCACTTACATCACCATGAATAATTATAATGGCAGAGATCCAACTAGGCATCAGACATAGCATTGCGAATGTGTCCCTTGCAAATATAGCAATCTTGATCCATTAACCACGCTCACGTTGGACAACAAGTGATTTATTTCATCCTCTAGAGTACACAGACCTCTCTGAGTCCATACACAAATTTAGAAAAGTAAAAAAAAAAAACCAAATTGGACCCGTGGACTTGTGGGAACTAGCCTGTTTCAAACACGTTGGATTAAGTCTGGATCTAATTTTAATTTTCTATTACATGGTCTGATCTGTCCCGCTTTATTTTCAAACAGATCCAGTCCAATCCCTTCAATTGTAGATCCGGCCCGACGAGTGCCCGCTCCTAGTTATTAATACTTTAACATGAAAAGAGAGATGCTTTCCTATTCGTTAATCATTGCATAATTAATGCCTTAATTGACACGAAAAGAGAGAGCCTATTCGTCAATCATTGCACAAATGCCTAAACGGATGATTGGAAATTTTCTCAAAGAGATGAAGGCTTAAATCATATAAAGGCTATTACTATAGGAAAGCTTCTCAAAGAGGTATACATACTTCGCTTCATCCATCCATCTATTACACGTCTGATAATGGAAAGTTTCTCAAAAAGATATATATTTCGCTTCATCTATTTATTCACTACATGTTTGATAAAAGAAAGCTTCTCAAAGAGATATACTTCGTTTCATCCATTCATTCACTACATGTTTGATAATGGAAAGCTTCTCAAAGAGGTTAATACTTGCTTCATCCATTCACTACACGTCTGATTAGGGTTCTATTAAATGCTTTCTCCTTTCGCTCTCCTTATTATAAGGGTCATCATATACCATTACTCCCAACTACATTAGTTTCTCAGACAACAATGGCAGCATTTAATCGTGGAAAATATACAATTCTCAGCATTGACGGAGGAGGAGTGAGAGGCATCATCCCGGCCACCATACTTGACTGTCTTGAATCCGAACTCCAGGTTATGTATATTGTCTCTGTTCCCGCCTTTTATTCTTAATTCTTCCTAACTTGAATATGTTCTTTAATTAAGTACGTACCAAATTGTTACCACGGTTCTAAAATCCTCGTCTAGCATTGCTTAGGTGTTAGGCAGCTAAGCATCGCCTCGATTAATTCCTAGGTGTTTGAAAATAATAGACCTGTTTAGGCGTCCGCCTAGCAGGCCCAGGCACCCCTCTATGCCCGCTAGAGCGCGACTCTCACTTACATAGAAATTTGATAACTTTCATTTTGCAATTTATTTTTTCAATAAATGTAAAAGACTTGTTGAATACTCGAATGAACAATCATTATATGCTTGCTCCTTATGTTCTCAATATATTTGAATACTTTATAATTTATATGTCATTTATTTTGCAATTTACGTGTCCTAATACAATCATGTGTCCCTTTTAAGTATAAATAGACACTTATTTATAATATATAATATATTTGCGCCTAGCCGCTTGGGCACTAGGCCCCATCCCGCTATCCAACTAGCACCTAGCGTCTTTTAAAACCTTGATTGTTACTGATATTGTTCCTCACATCTGTGTGCTTGAAAATTTCAAAAGAAACTCGATGGTGAAGATGCAAGGATTGTAGACTACTTCGACTTTATTGCCGGAACCAGCACGGGAGGCCTTATCACAGCCATGCTCACCAAACCAGATGAACAAAACAAACCTCTTTTTGCAGCAAATAAAATCGTTGAATTTTTTGTTGAAGAGGCTCCAAGATTCTTCCCTCCACCCAATCCTGCGGAGGAGCCAAGGTATGTGTATATTGTTGGAGTAATAATAGAAAATATGGAAATAGTACAAGAATTCTAATGATAATAATCATAAAGAGAATCACAACATCGATTGTGTACAAGATTAATATAAACAACTAAGAAGAAAGTAAGAAAAACTGACGAACTTGGAGATTCAGGCTTGCATAAATGCAATATTTTAAAGGCATAACGTCCCTACTTTTGTGCTTGTAGTTCATTAAGCGTTCGTCTCTCATGATTCAACAATCTATAATCTGAAATCAAGGCACCGCAATCTTCAGCTTGCCTGGAAGTGGTCGAGGTGCACCTTAGGGTGTTTTGAGGCGGTTGAAAACCTTGCTTGCAAGATTATGGGGACCCCTCGAAGTTGAAGGCTGGGCCTTTAAGGCTCTGCCCTCTTTTATTTATTTATTTATTTTTTTTCAATTGCAACGGCGGCGTCATCACGAAGAAGATGATCCCAAAGTAGATGACGAATGATTTTTCTTTAAGACTTGGGCAGAAAGACGTCATTTTTGTCCAAATCTAATTTTTATTTTTAAATAACCCACAACAGTCCCTAATTATTTAAGTCTCGTAAGGCTTCACCTCACGGCTCAAGGCTTTCGCTTAGGCGGGGCTATCCATGAAACGCCTTCGCCTTTTACAACATTGATCTTAAGACACAACTCAAAATTGAACAACAAAGAATGAGAGAAACAAAGCGGGGAGCCCCTATTTCTCAAGAGAGTTTTCTCGAGGTAAATCTAGTACTTACTAATTTTATTTTATTTTTATTTTTATTTTTTTTTCCAAAATTCAACAACAAAGAATGGGAGAAACGGACGGCATCTTCTTGAAGACGTTTGGAAAGTGGAAGAGTAAGGCAGGAAACTTTTTGCATGAGCGTTTTTTATGGCTTATGGGACCAAAGTTCGATGGTGATAACCTGCATAACACGATCAAGCGGACCATTGGAGAAACAAAGATTCGAGATACCATAACCAACATTATCATTCCCAGTTGTGATATGAAGTACCTCCATCCGGTCGTCTTCTCCACCATGGAGGTTCGATTAGTAATGGTTTTCGAAGCATTTTTGTATAACTAATATTCGAGTTTCTTTTATGGATGATATAGTGTACGCTAGCCTAAGTCTACTATAATATGAATTTATTTCTCGAGTATCAGTACTCGTTAACATATAAATCATAATGCAGGCAAAACGAGACAAGTCAAAGGATGTTCTGCTAAGTGATGTCTGCATTGCTACATCTGCAGCACCGTTCTATCTCCCTCCTCACAAATTTGAGCAGACTTGGGAGCAGGGCACAAGAAAATATGACCTAGTCGATGGTGGTGTTGCAGCCAACAATCCCGTACGTACTGCTGTACAATTTTGAATCCTTAATTTTGATGATCTTAATGATGGTGTATGCCATATATAAATTATAAAAAATTCCTTTAAGATTGCATTATATTCAACAAACATCTTACACCAACGTTTCCAGACTTTGCTTGCAATCATTGAAAGTGCCAAGGAGAAGTCTGATAATAAAAGTGGGGCTGAGCGCCTGCATATTGATAGTAGTAAGCTTCTGGTACTGTCCCTGGGAACTGGATCTGCAAAGAAGGATGCGATGCTGGAAGTCGGAGAGCCCAAAACTTGGGGTATCTGGAAATGGTTCCTGCATCCAAAAAGAAGCAGTATCCCTTTAATTGATGTTCTTACGACTCCAAGTGTCAACATGGTTGAAGTATACCTGTCTGCTTTCTTCAATGTCTCCGGCTCTGATGACAATTATCTCCGGATCCAGGTTTATTTTTCGATTGTTTAACCATGTCCATGCATGCTTTACTTCAATGTCGTCTCCGGATGCAGGCACACACCTTCTTACTTGCTGGTTATCCGTGCTGCAGGAGGATGGCTTGAAACCTGATGAAATTGATATGACTGATTCAAGTCCTGAAAATCTCAAAAAACTTGTGAAGGCTGGGACTGACCTCCTTGAAAAAACTGTCAGTGCACTGAACCTCGACACTGGCTGGTATGTTGAACCAACTGACATGACATGCAAATACAAAGACGCAATTGCAGAGTGAGTGCTCACAAGAATCATTATGATCCCTTTCATTTAGGTTAGCACAGTAGATACTGCTAGGTGTTAACAAAAAATGTGGTTGATATGTCTGCTTGTTTATAATTTGTGCAGATTTGCCCGAAAACTGTCCTGTGAAAAAAAGAGGCGAGCAAATACATGAAAATCGAACGTTCTGTTTTCGATAACCCTCTTAATTTGTGGTTTTATATCATAGTACTTGAAGATGAGAATAAAGGTCGTCTCTTACCAAGAAAGGGAGAAAATTTCACCTTGGAACAAAAAATAAATTAAAATGTATGCCTACTCGTAAATAAATTCAGCCATTTAAGGACTTGCTGAACAAATTTGGTGTAAGTTTCTGTTAAAAGTTTGTAATGTGTTGTTAATTCTCTTGTCTACAAGAAAGTATGTGCGTGTGTGTATATATATATGGAATAAAATGAGCCTGTTTCTTCTGGTTCTTGACATGCACGATTCGTGACAGACATCATTGGTGGTTCTCGATCGAGTATCGAGTCTCGTTTGCTATGAAAAAGATAAATACATACACAGAGAGAGAGAGAGAACCAAGCTATTAATACAATCACTCTTTGGTATATCTAAAAATTTCATTACAATTTTATTCCAAGTCATAGACTACCTCTTTGGTAACTAATGGAGTGCTATCCAAGGCACCCTTCCCTAGCAAGTAATAAGCATTTCTTTGTTCGAATAATTTAAATTAAGAGATGTATATAAGAACTGATTAGTTTTAAATTAAATGTCCAAACTTTTAAACAAATCTAAATTGGTAGGACGATGATGATTGTAAATAACTACACACGCGAACACAAACGCACACACAAGCCGTCTCACCAGCTCATTAAAAAACTAACTCAAGTTAACTCGTATAGTAATCCAAGAGCTGATACAAAGACCACATTGTCTCTTTAAACTAACCTAATCATCCTAAAACCCTTCAAACTCACAATTACAAATCAAACCACGAAAATCGAAAACAGAACTCTCCATTCAACAATTCACTCACAAAGTTGCATATCAATAACCCATACAACCAAATACATCACAGTCTTCGCATGCAAGATCAAAATGTCACAGCTCAATCCAATTACGGAACCCAAATCCAAAAGTGATTAAGAGTATATCTACAGAACAGATTAAGCAAACAATCAGGATTTGACGACGACGACGCCGCCATGAATCACCTCTAAAGGAAGATAATTTCAAGCGGAATATTGAATTACGAGGAAGAAAGGAAGAAAGGAAAAAAAAGCTAACCCGCCGACGGATAGGTGCATGGCGTTGCCGAACATGGAGAGGCCGGAACTCATGGCTGCGAAGAAGCCTTTGTTTTGATCCTTCTTTGGGCTACCCATCTCTCTCTAGATTCTGTGCGAATCGTTCAAACCCTAATTCCAAAATTGGAAGGATGAAGGGGAAAAAAGGGTACGAAAAACAGAGGAAAATCGTACGGAAATTTAAGAAGCAAAGAACCCAGAAATTGGAGAGAGAGAGAGAGCGGGGAAAGATGGGGGTAGAATTGTAATTCCAGATTACAGCGAGGACCTGACGCATTTTCGGTTTAGTTTTTGCGCTCCGTTTTAGGAGCGCGTGTTTTCTTCTCCTTAATGAGGTCATCCCATGCGTTGGAATGTTGTTTTGGGATATTGAGATTAGTTGACCTAATTTACGGATTGAGATTCACTCCAATTTTTTTTGTCTGGAACTTAGAAAGTCGAGAGATTCAGATCATTCCATTTATATTTTATGACTTTAATTAGTCGATTAATCTCACCGGTCTACTTCATAAAAATACAAAACTTGAACAGTCTAGATCTTTTTTTCTTTTTAAATGATTCAAATCCATCGTAGAGACAAATAATATTACATCAAAAATTTATGTTAACTTAAGAGATAAAAAAACACACCACGAAAGCATACATAAAATTATTATAATCTAAATATCCAGACCACTGCACAGTAATATTATAATATACAAAATACAATAATATTATTATTATAACATACAAAAAGTTAAAAACAGAAAAGCAAAAGGAGCTTTTAGTTTCAAAGATGGGTTTTGGCATCGGGGAATCAGATTAAGCTTCGAATGGAGTCATTGAATCAGTAAAGCTGATGAGTAATATCAGGAAAGCATTGAAACTATCAACAAAGTGAAAACGAAAGCTCTCACCAACAATTGCAGATGGAAACGACTGAGCAGTTGCAAACAGAGACAAGGGAGCAGTTGTAGACTACGGTCAATGGTGAAAGTCTCCCAAGTACAATGATTTCTGAGGTTCGAGTGAGGAAAAATAGGTAAATTCGAATTTTATACACAAAATCGTTTTGGTTTTTTGTCAAACAATCATTTCAGTTTAGCTAACTTCAATCAATCAAGATTATGTACGGATTTATTGCAATTTTTTGTCATTATCGTCTGATTTTAGTTTGAAACGTATCTGAAAAGTAGGATACTCTTATCTCAATAGTACGATACACGTATCTCAGTAGTTAATAACGTATCGCTTCGATGTTAGTTTAATTGTCTTGAAATGTATCCGAAAAATATAATGTTACAGAGAGTCCCACTTTTAGCTAAGAGAATCTCCTAAGTTTAATTGGAGTCTGCTGCTAGTAGTGCATAATTGCCATTATCATCGCATGACAACAAGAGTTTCGTAATTCAGATTATGTATTGTGTTCTTTCGATGTTAAATAGGAAAATAGAATGCAATGCAATTGTTTGAAGTCGAGGACTCCTAGGAAATGGGAACAACTTGTTTGGGGCTTGGTTTGCTACTGAACTTTCCTAAGCGTCACTGCAAGTCCACAAATGAAGTTCTTTCTTTTCGAATTGGCTTCCGAATTGTTGTTATTTCATGACAATAAATTTCTATCGAAAACAGAAGAAAAGATTGCTTTGATCTGCCGCATCAAATTACGTAGGTCGTACTGTCGATGACTGAGGTGGTATTCTGAACACGATCGGCAGCCTTCGTTGCCTGAAATGAGGAACTGTATTAAACATGGACAAAATGCTATTAGCAAGGTGAAACGAAGGACATGTCCTGAACTTACCTCTTTATTCCAATCAGTGCGTAAATTTACCACCACAAGTGCTGTTAGTTGAACAACAAGTCCACAAATGATTCCCATCCAAAGTCCCTATACACACAAATTTAAACTTCAATGGCTGATACATACAGAGAGAGAGAGAGAGAGAGAGAGAGAGAGAGAGAGAGAGAGAGAGAGAGAGACTCACCATTCCTCCAATATGGAGGACGAAGGCGAAAACCACAGCAGTAGGAATTCCCACAGCATAATAAGCAATAAGATTTATGGCTACACAAAGATTCTGCCATCCACAGCCTCTGGCAGCCCCTGCATACCCAATTATTAATTCTTTTTAGCTGCGAAATCAGAATTTTGAAAAGAAATAAAGCACTTAAATTAAATATGTCAAGTTTCAAACTTCATGAAGCCATTGGATTCAGTAATTGCTAGAACCTGAAAGCACACATTGGAATCCATCCAAGAAGTCGGAAACTGCAAGCAGTAGCATCATTTTAGCAACATATTTGATCACTTGATGCTCATTGCTGTAAAGCTTTCCCCAAACATGGCGTATCAAAACCGTTGCTATTGCGATTGCAGTACCCTCTAATAAAGCCATCACAGTCATGACTCGTAGAGCTAATTTTGCGCCTTGCGGTCGTCCAGCACCCAATTCATTTGACACTCTTGTGCTGTTACGATAACAGGAAAATATTATTCTCAATTTCTCAGATTAGAAGATAAATACAAGTACAAGATTGAATGTTGATATGCCGTTAGAAATCACATGAACCACCGACCTTATAGCGCTGCCAAGGCCAACTGATATCGTATAAACCATCCAACATGTGTTAAGGCTGCAAAGACAACAACAAAATCAGAAACTATTCAAATTTACTTACGAGTGAACGAATAATAGTTCTCTATAGTTTTCTACTTTCTGTACCTTATTGATAACACAGATGTTTCTAGTTTTGGGTTCGGGAGAAGACCGGATAAGAGAACAACCATTCGAAGCACCAATATTCGAGGCTGCAATTCGAAAGCGTGTATGTAGTCAGTGATTCAGATAGAAAAAAAAAAGGATCCAACATTTCTGGTACGCATGACAATTTTGATATTTTGTACTATCGATTAAGCAGAAAATGAAACCTACCATAGCATTACAGCCGAAGAAATGGCAAGTTTGACAAAGCTGAAAATGTCATGCAATGCCTGTTTCGAAAATCCAGTCCAAGTTTTCCTGCAGGTGGGCGAGAACAGCACATAACTTGCCACTAACACCACGTTAAGCCAATGCGAAATGCTAATTGCCAACGCGGCACCCTTGTTTCGCAGTCCAGATTTAAAAATAAGTCCCCAACAAACCCCAACGTGGAGCAAAGCTGTGACTCCAGAGGTGATCATCATTGGAAACACATTGTTTTGCGTCTGTAAAAATCTGTTGAGGCATTGGAGGAGGCTGAAGGCGAACAGGCTCGGAATCATCCAGCGGTTGAAGGTTCCTGCCGCGGCAGATATCTCGTGGTCTTGGTGAAGAGCCATGAGAATGTTGCTTGTGTAGAACCAGACTAGCGATAAGGGAATGCTTACTGCTAATAATATTAGCATTGCTTTTTGCATGTGGACTCCAAGCATGCGGTACTGTTTGGCTCCGTAGGCTTGCCCACATAGTGTTTCCAATGCACTTCCCATTCCCAACTGTGAGACATGTTTGATAATTTTTTACGGGCCTCTAATAAAATGCTTACTGCAAAAGCATCCGTTTCCTAAGTAACATTTCTAAACGAGCCTTAAAGAATTAAATCGTATTCATGTTTTTATTCTAATGAGAGTCGAATACACTAACAGTCCGATGCAATAACAATTAGATCAAACTAGACTTGGACAATACAATATTTTTTAAGAAAAACTAATGAAAATGATTTGAAAATTTTAAGTTTTAACGATAATGACAAAATAAAGAGTAAAATGAATAGTACGAGAATTGACCTTTTAATGTAAAAATATGATTTTTCATTAAAGTAAACAGTACCGCGAGTTTTTCGTTAAAACCCCCTTCTTTTTATTATCCGTCGTAACCAACATGAGGACTTTCATGAAACGGGAACGTCACATTGGCGTTTGTCCAAAACCACCGTGACAAATGGAGAAAAGCTTAAACACCGCCACAAACTCCAAAAAATTAAAAGAAAATTTGAACAAAATGTTGAAGAGAAAATCGCTTACCAAGACGCTGAATCCAGTGACATTGGCAAAGGAAGAGGCCATGGAAGCACTAGAAAGTTCCAACTCTCCGATATGGCCGACAAACATGACTGCCGTTACCTGTAAGCTGTACTGCAACAAGCTCACTGCAATCAGAGGACCCGCCAGCCACAGTTGCAATTTCGCTTCTTGAATTACGAGCCATCTTGTAGAAACCGGCACGTTCGGCGATATATCGGAATTTTGAGGCGTTGGCATTGGAAAAAGGGGTGACTATTTCTTCAGGCTCTATCGCCGATATATCGGTCGCAAAAGAGAGTTAAATTTCGGAAATTCTGGAAAAAAAATTCACCAAGCGTCGGAATGAGTCTGGGTTGCAGAGCCTCGCCAAGAACGACGTGAAAATTGAAACCCTCCTGTTGTGTTCACTCTCTCGGCTCCTTTTTGTTTCTGCCTTTTTTAATGAATCGGGAGATTCATGAATGCTTTATTTTCCTTCTCTTTTGACACGTGGCATAATTTACACCATCCACTACAATCCTATTATAATTTGTATGCGTACAAGTCCTAAAGAAAAGTTATACTTGAACTCATATAACTTATTTCTACATTTAACTTACTCTTTTTATCTATATTGTTTTTTATTAAAGAAATAATCTCTCTTTAAACTCAAATTTATTATTTAAACTACTCTTTCAAACCCAATTCAAAATGATAAGTTATCTTTAAACCCATTCACTTTATAAATAACATCTCTAATTGATTTTTTTTCCTTTTTCAAAATGGCGTCCTTGCCCCCACCCCCTTCTTCCCACTAGCATTTTCATGGCTACTTTTTATCTTTCTGCTACCTAACCCACGCGTTTGCCTTTTTTCTTTTCAATTACGTGGCATAGATATTTGACAACATGGAAAACACTAGGATTTAAAAAACCAAAGACCTTGCAATTAAAAAAAACCAATTATCAACTTTTCAAATAATAAGTAGTTAAACTTGCTTGTCTTGATTCAAAGAATTACAGGAAGATTGTCGTAGCTAGTTCTCATTTTTACATTACAAATTTTTCCACCGTGAGTTCTAAACTTAAAACATGAAAGAAAATAAACTAAAGAAAAGGAAATTTCAACATATCTATCAAAACATTTTTAATCATCTTCAAGAGCCACAATATCATTAGTGGCTACATTCTCTAACCCTCGAAGTTGCTTAAATTGATCAACGCGCCCCTGGTATTTTGAGTACAAGTTGTTCACTCTAATATCACTGCTTATTTGACTCTTTTTGTGTCACATGGTAGAACTATCAACTTTGCATGGTCACCCTTTTGTCTTAATCTTTTCTTTTGGAGCATTAAGTGAAGTCGTACCTGGGTTCATTAGCTCTTCAATTTTCATCTCGAGCTCTCATTTCTTATCATCATCTTTTTCTTCATACCACATATTAAAT